ATTTGGTGGCTTTCTCTATGCTAGCGATTTCTTTGAGGATTAACGGATAATCGTTTACTTGTGTACCATTGGGAATGTTTAATTCCAGGCTCATGAAATTCCCTTCCAAGTAGGCCGGTTTCAAACGATCGATGCCAACGGCGTCTTCGCGGCCATTTTGTCTAAGATAAGGAAATTATCCATACGTTTAGTGACTTTATATGGTCCGTCATGTTGGGGTTCCAGAGGGCGGCGCATAGAGTCACGACGAACAAATACATGTGAAGAAGTTTTTAAACACGGGTGGAAAAACACTTCTGCGGACCATGGTCGAAGGGAAGCAGGTTTAGCTGAACGCATTGCCTTTGTAAGCCTGCTGACTTACGGGGCGTCATCTACCACTGGTGGAAAGCTCGAGGGAGAAACAAATTCACCAGGCAGTCGCAGTGTCGTGCCACATACTGTCTCGGCGCTAGTACAACCAGCATCCGTTTTTAAGGCGTTTCGTATCCCTAGGAGAACTAACGGAAGGGATTCAGTCCAATGGGTGTTGCTTGCACCTGACAAACCAGCTTTCAACTGTCTATGTGGATGTTCTACCATACCATTAGCTTGAGGATGGTAGGCTTTTGTTCGAAAACGCATGCAACCTATGATTTTAGTCAGGGTGAGGAATAAGCCACTTTCGAATTGCCGCCCGCGATCAGTTGTTATGGAAGATGGGCATCCAAAGTTAGCGATCCATCTTTCTACGAAGACGCGTGCGACTGTTTCAGCAGATACGTCCTTGATGGATACTGCTTCCGGCCATCGTGTGAATCGATCTATGCAAGTTAAAATGTAGGTATATCCATGGGATTCAGGAAGGGGTCCAACCAAATCTATATGGACGTGCTCAAAACGAGCGTCCGGGAGAAGAAAGGTGCCAAGTTGGCTTTTGGTGTGTCTTATCACCTTGCACTTTTGACAAGCTAAGCACGTGTGTGCCCATTCCCTTACTTCTTTATTGATGCCAAGCCAACAAAAACGACTAGTTACGAGCTTGACAGTAGTTCGAATACCTGGGTGAGATAAGCTATGCAACTTATTGAAGATATTACGGTGATAACTTTTAGGCACGATGGGGCGAGGAGTACTCGTGGAAACGCCACATAGAACAGTATCTCTTCCCATACCTAAGGGTTTCTCAGTTAATTGTAGGGTTGTTTTCGACAACTCATGTTGAAGCTCGGTATCTTCTTTTTGAAGACGAGCCAGTTTTACAAGGTCTATGCCGTCGATTTGGGTGAGGGAACAAACGCGCGACAAGGCATCTGCCACAGTGTAGTTTACTCCGGATACATGGCGAATATCTGATGTAAACTGTGAAACGTAATCCAGTTGTCGTGATTCCCTGGGTAAATACTTATCTGAAGGTGAGTTCAGAGAGTACGTGAGGAGTTTGTGATCAGTGAAAATTATGAACTCACCACCCTCCAATGAATATTGGAGGTGGCGTATAGCACAGTGCTTAGCCAGTATTTCTCTTACTTTCTGCTCGTTATAGGCCCCTCAAGAAAAAGACGAGCTCATGCCACTCTCTATTGACTAGTTGTTGCAGGACTGAGCTGACTGCAGTGTATGGTGCATCAACTGAGATACTCAGAGGTGCCGCTGGAACCCGATACCTAGGAAGGGTGGCATCCGCTATAGCTTTTTTAATCCGAATGAAAGCACTTTTAGCGAATGCGTCAAGTTCGATGGACTTGTCATCCTCTAGAAGGACGTCTGTTAGTGGCTGAATCGGGGAGGTACAGTTAGGAATAAATCGTCGCTAGTAACTCACGAGGCCATTAAAAGTGGGAAGATTTTTCACCGTGTTCGGCTCCGAAAGGTTCAGTATCGCATCAACTTTACTAACCAGTGAGCGGATACCCTTGCAAATCAACGGTGTGACCGAGAAAGTCCAGTGATTTCTCTCCTATCTGACACTTTTGGATATTAATGTCAGCGTAACTTTTCGAATGCCGATTTCAGGTGCCTAGGGTCAGTTTCTTTGTCTAAACTCACAATGAGGCAGTCGTCTACGTATGCGTATACAAAGTTGAGACCGCGGAATACTTGATCCCTGTATAGTTGGAATGTTTGTGCCGCAGTCTTGAGACCGGAGGCAGTTAGCTAAGAAGACAGTCACACAATACCAATAAAGTAGAGATAGTTTTTATGCACTGAATCCATATATCCCATATTGCACTACACCAATCAGTGCAAATATATAGCAAATCCACATAGAAATAACCTTTCAACTTAGAACAATTCCTGTCCAAACACGCGTTCGGCGAAAGACACGCCTACATCATAACTTCTGTTCCCACAGAAAGTTCTGATAGCATTTACATGCAATTTCCATGTACTGATAGCATTCACTTGTCAAACAGTACTGTTTTTCACACAAAAATAGGCTGCACTGATATCCTGAGACGTGAAGTCTTCAATGAATGATGCTATGCCAAAAGGTTCGGCTTCTACGTAAAGTAGACTATTTGTGTGGATGACATTATTTTCCAGCCATCCCATCTTGCTCATTAGAGTGTTGTTTTAGCACAGCCCTCCTGAAATACCAATCATTGCAACCAATATGCTTAGAGTGTGTCACAGTCAGATCATATGGCTTGTCAGAAAATGAGAACTCCCATAAATTCAGAAACCACCCAAGAACGTTTAATTAAAACTTATTGACAAAACATCTTACACGTGAAATTTTGAACAACATGACGGATAAGTCCAGCCCTTAAGACCACCATTCTGAAAAATACTTGTCAGCTTGCATAAAGACATACGGACGGGTACGGGCAAGACGGAACAATGAGAAAGTAGTTTAGGGGAGAAGAATAGGGTTGAGACAACGACGTACGTATGCTCCCACGCTCAGTCAAACATAGGCGCTAATGTAGTGCGTTCCCAACCCCCATAGTTACCTAGGTGCCGTGTCGTTGCAAAAAACAGGTGCTCTTCTACAGACCCTAGCGAAAGCTGAAATACGAGGCGAATTCAGCCCAAAATTTGAAATTCCAGGTACACACATAGCAAAGTTTCTGACGGAGACCATGATGAATGCTAATGTCCTTACGTTGTCATCAAATTGTTGGTTGTTGTCTGATCATGAGGATGGAAGTGCAAGTCCAATCCAGGTGGACTACATTTGCACTGCAATTTATTCGCCTCATAATTTATTTCGAAAGTTGGTGTCGTGTTGTTACCTTAGAGCTCCTCTATTTCAATCTGAACTTTTCTCCACGTCTCATATTCGATTTTCTTATCTTTGTTTTTGTTTGTCCATCCTCTGGATTTTCTGTTTTATTCTGCAGGTATTGTATTCTATAGTTTCTTAAACCCATTTGGATTATTTTCTGGTGGAATGATATTTGTAAGTCTCAAGAACATCACACCGGTATAAACCATACACAGCCTCAAAAATAAACTGATGCCTCTCACTTTAGAATGACAAGTGGAACAAGTGAAATAATACCGGGGACAGTTCAAAGTGAGAATAGTAATAATAACAATTGACGTTTTAACGACAAACCGTGCTACCACATCTGTCGCGGGGATAGATTTTTGGTACTGCAACCTGGAAGGAATATAGGAATATCTTATAACGCCGAGAATAGAAGGCAAGGGAATCAAAGTATTGACACAAGTTCATGACAGAAACAAAAGACAACAGAGCGAAAAAATTTTCTTTACTAACGAACAATCATGTTTATATTTACCGAAAAACATAATACTCCGCTAGTGAGTGATAGGGTGGGGAAGATGACAACTGATAAACTCCTCAAGAGCGGTTTCTAAAGTGAACATAACAGGAGTAGAGGTTTGGCTAGGTGAAAATTGTTATTCTATGAGAAGTAGGCTGGTTGAGAGTCCACTTGACAAGTGTGAAGACTATGAGTAAAAAGCTGGCAAAATGTACAAAAGAAATGTGTAAAAGTGATAGCGGTAAATTAATTAGTAAAAATAGAAGCGGACAGCTAATAAATTGATTAGGAGCATGAGAATGGGGACCGAAGAAGCCTTCCTGTACACAGATTTCGGGTTTATATTTACCAATAGCCAGACGCAAATGTCCAAAACCAGCACCACTTATACTTTTCAGTCTCACTTATGAGGTTTTAGGGGACGCTTACAGTGGAGCTGCGTAGCCTGAGTTCACAAGGTGCTAGATAACTGAGCTGATAGTTTCACTGGATTTTTTCCTTGATAACCATGCTGCATACTGTCCAAATATCAGTCTGGAAAGTGAGTGTTTAGGGTTGACGGTATAGACGTTCGTGAACAATACTGAGTATATTAATGCAAGATCTTGTACCAACAACTTCTATCTTATTTGATTCTCGTGTATTGAAAGCAAAGCAAAACACCACAGTTGATTGTCCAAATAACGAGATATATTTCGGAACCAAATCGCGGATTGAAGCGGAAGCTAAGCTAGCTAGTTATCGTGCACGAAAGTGCGACGACAGAGTACCAAATGGCGGGGATGCTTGACGGGAAGCCTTCAGCTAAACAAGTCGACTTAAACTCTTACGGTCAGCATCAAATGTTCACCGATGATTCTTATGGTCACTATGTAATTCTTCTCTTAGACATAATCTATTCCTATGGTCAATAATTTTGGGGAATTATTTAACACTATAAGTGCATTAGTTCTCATACTCTGCTACTCAACAGCAGACTGCTATATGGTCTTCAGTAAGTTTAAGCATGACGGCACAGAGTCTAGAGATGATTTGGCCAAAAACTAAATTTTTTACTGAATTAGCCATATATTTTCGCTATATCCGATATTTCAGAACTGGTTGTCATTCTATTATAGATGGTAACTACATATTATCCCTGGTTGACTTTAGTATAATAAAATTTGCTGCCTGAAATTTTTTCACTACAATTTACAAGGGGGTACGTACAAGTGAAACGTTCCAAAGATTTCACTATTTGTTTTAATTCACCAATGACTTCACGTCAGCCATATTGTATCCTCCATGGCAGGTAACGAGGCTTACGCAAGCGCCATCGAACGGGCGAAGCAGGTGGTTTGCATTGAGGTGCGGGTTGACTTATTTCACTTATAGATTGTTTCAAAATTTTCTATGTCCGATGACGGTTCAACAACCAATGGTGGCATAGCTGGCATGAAAAGGCCGGCCCAGGACGACAACAATAATTTTGCTACAACTGAAAAACGCCCTTTAGTCATGGATAAAGTTGCTGCTGCTGCCGAAGCTGCCGCTCGTATCAATCAGAAACTAGGCAGTGCACAGTCAACCACAAATACTACGTCAGCATCAAATAACAACACGAATTCTTCAAGCGCAAGAGTTGTCACAACTGAAACTGCTATACCAGACCGTTTTGTTGGGTTAGGTCAGTCACAAAATCTTGAAGTAATCCAATTCTACAGTTATAGGAAAAGGTGGAGAGCAAATAACACAGCTGCAAAATGACACTCAATGCAAGGTGCAAATATCTCAGGGTAGGTGTGATATTTATTTCCACTCGCTAATAATTTAGCCGGCACTCCTGAGCGTACGGTAACACTTACAGGAACTCCACAACAAATCGAGTAAGTAGTCCATTTAAGTGCTATTTTTTAGTCACGCGAAACAAATGATTAGTGATATAATTGAGCGTGCTGGCAAAAACGGCACTCCAACTACTCCTGCTTTCAATGCAACTGGAAGCATCACAACCATAGAAATGATGGTGCCGGGGTTGAAGGCCGGACTGGTGATTGGAAAAAACGGTGAGACCATTAAGAATTTGCAGGAAGAAAATGGAGTGAAAATGGTTCTGATCCAACAGTCGAACAACCCCACGCCCGAAGACAAACCGTTGCGAATATCTGGCGAACCGTCACGAGTCGAAAAAGCTCGACAAGCTGTGTTAGTGCTTATAAATTCTCGTGATGTAAGTCAATTTACCGGGGACCTTACTTTCCAGCGTCCTGGAGGACCTATGCACTATGGTTACGACGGTCAAGAAACGTCACAGTATGCCGTACCGGCGGAGAAAGCTGGGCTTGTGATCGGCAAAGGCGGAGAGTCAATCAAGGAGATTTGTCGTGTTAGTGGGGCTCATGTTGAAATCTCGAAGGAACCTCCACCAGATCCTTCTATCAAGATATTTAACGTGCGTGGTAACAGACAAGAGATAGAACAAGCTATAAGGTAAAGTGCTTAGTTATGAAAAATTTCATGTAAGCCGTTTGTATCATTCATTTTACGCACAAATTCAATTCATATTGATTATCAAAGCAATATTTCTTATTTGTTACTATCTTTATTATTTCGGTATATGCCTATTCGTGCCATACGTATAATCACTCTTCTCTGGTTCTCATTTCTCTGGATGTCGGCTGCTGTTTAAAGAATGATCTCTGAGCGTGCTGGTATTCCTATGACTCGACCAGCTACGACCACTGGTGCAGTTCCTGGGCCTTGGGGTCAATATGGCTACCCACAGACAGGTAAGCTTAAAGTTTTTTATCGACTGACTGACAGCTTAGAGGCTGTGTAGCAGTCAGTGCTCACAACCAAGCAACGACAGATGGTTAATGGGTACAAACATTGGTTCAATCTAATTTCGGAAGCTTGAGATGTTCGAACAACACCAGCTGTAAGCCTAACTGACGAATACCATCTTTACGTTAAACCCGATTACTTTTAATATTAATTTGAGATGATATTGCTGGTGATTGAAACTCATACTCAATTTGGTTTTGTTCTAGGACGTAACCATGAGATTTACACCCATCCGTTTTAGGGTTGTAATTCTACTCCCTGTGTAAACCCAGAACTGTTAGATAGTTTGGCCGTGGGACGACGTCTAGGTTGGCACTGTCGCATGGGACTAAGTAGCTCTTAAAAATATGTCTTTTTCTAACGCATTTCAGACCCTTGGGCTATGGCTAATTGCGCACAGGGTGCCGTCGCAGCTGCGGCTATGCCGGCTCCGACTTATAATCCATACACAGGACAACCGGACTATAGCGCGGCTTGGGCCGAGTATTACCGTCGACAGGGAATGCATGAATGCGCCGACGCCATCCTACGACAAGCTCAACAGCCACAAGTCGCCGCAGTACAGCCAACTGCTCCAGTACCTTCCGCTCACGTCCCAACAGCCCAATCAGGTGCACCTGCAGCAGCACCCAACTCGGTTCCGGTCCAAACACAGCAAGCTACTGGACAGGTAAATTTTGTTTGTACCTGCGTTGTTGATAAATTTTTCTAAATTTGGTTCATGTATGAATGGCAATGGATACCGATTGGTCTATAGTATTTGGGATCAAAGGCCTCAGAATCGGTGACTTATTTGATTTAGCCCAGTATGTGTTTTGTATGAATAATTCTGATGGGTTCCGTTTTGGCTACCAACCATTCTTTTCGTTTTCAGTACGACTACGGTCAGTGGCAGCAGTGGCAACAATGGCAAGCTTGGCAAGCGTGGCAACAACAGCAAGCAGGAGCACCAGGCCAACCCTCTGCAGGGGCTCCGACAGGACAGGCCATGCCAGGGGCGCCATCAATGCCAAGTGCGCACGCAATACAATGTGCTTCAAGCATGCCTTCCGCTCCCGGTCATCCTCCCATTCCTCAATAATAAACTCAGCACTTCATTAGAAAAAGTGACGAGCTCCAGTATTCCCGAATCCGTTTTGTGTCTTCATTTCCAAATACATTTTCAGGCTGTATAAAAACGTGTTGGTTGAGTCCAATTATTAATTGGGTTCGATTCAGTTGTAGGTTTTTTAATTTCGTATATTTTGGCACGTCTCTCGATGACGTATAGGTAATTTCAGTTTGCATTCAGGATCCAAATAGTTTTGCCTTTTGGAACGACTGAAACAACCCATTGTTTTCTGCAAGTACAAGTTTTGTGATAAGATGGTGTTGTATACGGGTTCCAGAATGTGCGAGGTTTTTTATTCTCGTTTAGAAAAGGAATCGTGCTTGCCGACAGTCGGGTGTTCATTTTAGTACATCATATCGCCGACGGATGTTTTACTGGGAAATATTTCTCAAGTCATGTACAGCACTAGTGTTTATCGGATGAAATCCGATTTCAGGAGTTAGAACAGGTTGGAAAGTGGTGCTAGTTGATATTTTTCATTGTTAATAGGCGGTCTCATAAATCTACCTCAAGACTCCATGACATTGCACCGGTGGGGCACTAGAATTTTGTAATTCGGCATGAGTCTGAATCGTAACTTTTTGTGGGCAGATAAGTTGCTGGTTTTTAGGTCGGATCATAGGTCATGCTGATTATAATTAATTGGTGGTGTGCATTGCTTTTAATTAACATGAGTCTTTTTAAAAGACGTTTGTATGTCGTCAAAAGATGGATTTTATAAATTTTTTGCATAATTGGAATGGACTTGTTTCGACTGAAGGATTTCCATGATTAATTTGTAGGCTAATTGGAACTCTTATTACATGCAGCCATGCAATTCCGGTTATCCATGGCAAACATGAAAAGCTCATATCGGCTATCAGAAAGGCACCTGAAATTGTAATCTAAATGTTTTAAAAAATTTGTAATGACTGCGTGACATTTTTTCAATTTATGCGTGAGTTTTTAAATATATCTACATGTACTCGTAGTGTGCACACGTCTTATGCATATACGTGTATGTGTATATTGTGTATGTATACGTGCGTTGTACCCAAGGTGGGTGTTTTTCGTATGTGTTTGAGACGGAGTTTATTGCGTAATGGGGTATTCGTGTGACCAGGTGTTTCGTTTAGAATAGTATGTCGGTTAGTAACAATGCAAAAATCCATCCAGAGGTTTCGTGTCGGGCATTCAAAGCCAGTCGGTCAGCAGGGGATTTAGAACGGGATTGATATAATTTTTGGAGTTTTCAACAGATAATGGATGAAAAGGATGCTACTACAGCTTCCCTTGAACGGGATTCATTTTAATCGAATACGAGGGTTTCACCTTTGCGTACATTCCGCGTGGTCTTTTGATTGAGAATACGTCTCAAAAGGGATAACTAGGTGTGCAGTAATAAGCTTACTGGAGCGGCGGGCAGCATCAGGAGGGCTGACACGACATTACTGGGAAAAGGATTCGTTAAATATATCCATGAGAGGATAACGCAGGATATCCGCACCTATTTTAAGAATAAGGCTAGGCAAACCATCTGGACCTAGCCTGCAAGAAGGGTTCAGCGACCGGAGATATTTTAGAACGTCATTTATATTGAAACCAGGTAAGCAGGTTTCATTAACACATGTGACACTGGAAAGTTTGGCATTTGTGGGAGAATGTATGAAAGACCTGTTTAGAGTACGCGCATCAAATGAACAGGGAATACTTTTGTGATACTGGTTGTAATTAGATGCATAAGAGCCCAAGTTACTTAATATCTATAAAGCAGATATGCGAATCTTACAGTTGTTGATCATAAAAAGGCGTATATTAGATTATATATCACATGATTCAGTGACATATTGGAGATAAATAAAATTTGTTTCTTGGCTCATGTTTTTGATTCTGTCACTGCATATTAACAGATTATTGAAGTAGCTAACAACTACATTTACTTGCACTACAGACTTGGCGTTTGGCAGTATGCAGACTTGCAACTGGCTAAATAAGGCGACTTTAGAGTATCGAACAGTGCAGAATTATTATTCAACTTGCTAAATCCTACTTAGTTTTTGCAATATGCTATCGTATAGAAACAGACGCGAAATCCTATGAATGACTAAGGTAACAGTCTCATAATACTACAGTAAATATTCATCCCACCGACTAAACTTAACATGCATTAATCCGAATTCACATATTACAAAACCCCATTGTATAGCGACGCACTGAAGAAGTTCAGAAGAAGTAGAAATTAAGAGCATATTGAACATTTCATAAATCTATGAAAGAAAGTTTTGATATAGGCTATTAGCGTTAGTTTGACCGATCGACATTTCTGCTGATTTCATATTCGACAACCTCCGCATACCTAAAAACTGAGGCACATGTAGGGACTAGCACATTATGAAGGCATGGAGAACGGGAATATGCAAATAAAATTTGTTCGGTGTGTGGTATATCCATTTTACGGTAAGATATTGTAGAGTAGCTGCAGCACGTAGTATTGAAGCTACGTGTAGTCCAAGAAAACTTCTTGCACGTAACAGTCGCAGACACGCGTAACACGGTCAGGGAACCCAGGAGTGTCAACATCTCGACGCCTACTGTCGTGCATTTGTTAGGATCTTAGACTCCTGTATGAGATGAATCGAAAAGTCACTATACAGGTGTTTGCAAGTAGGTTACTGCTTAGTTCTCGTTTTCGTCACGCCTAGTCTTCTAGCTAGACCTAGTGCACCAGCAATCATCATAGATGGAATATACAGGTACCTCAGGTGAATATATCAAATTGCTAACTTCAGTGAAATGTGAAAACATTGCACCAGCACACGAGACGAGAGATCATTATAACAAACCTCTGTAGTAACATCAAGACATATGTGGTTCAAAGCGCCAGTTCCAATGGCTGGAAGTCAGCACGTCAGAGTTCATCACTCGTACTACTTGACTATATCTGTTCACAGTGCTCAAAAACCGTAAAATGGGTGGACCTATAAAGCTAACGCGTATGAGAAAGTCTCAGGAAGCTGTGGACTTGTTCAAATAAGACAGGATATAGGGAAACCTACTAATCGCTTTCAAATGAATGTATTCTTGTTGGAGAAATTAGTTGGAGGATATTGAATGTAGGGTAGCAATTGAGGGTGTCCAAGCGGGGAAGCAGTCGTTAATAATCTAGCATGACAATTTCAGTGGGGAAGTTTAGCAGTAAACTAGCTTGACGAATGTCATTATCACGTTTCGACGCAAAATAGTAGGTGAGGAAACTTAACGTGTTCTGCGCCATGTAATACGTCTAATCGGCATCTTCATGCTGTGGGGGTTCAAAGCATGATGTAGTGCCAACCAAACTCACTACATAGAACACCCAAAATATAGCTCACAAAGATAGGTCAAAACAACTCGCTGGGACGAAGCACAAGCAAACACTCTTCAGTGCGGTGGTTCTTCGTGACCGTAACCAGTTTTTATGTGTATCCAATTAATTTTCTGATACAGGTATGTTGGTGGATGCAAAGAGAAAGCTGCTCTCGTTGGAGGTTATGTAAAATCTCAACGTAATTGGCTTAAATATTACTCGTAAAGCTTGATATTTCCGATTGTGAAAAGGTGTAGAAGGCACGGAGTGTTACTCTCATTTTAAGTACTTGTCGGTAGTTTATACATAAGTACTCGTATGACAAATTCATTGTAATCTAACCGTCACTGTGAGTGTGTGAACAGATGACCCAGGAATTCTCATGACAGTACTGCCGACACTACAAGAAACAAAGGACTGGAGCAGTTAACAAAAACCTTTCTTACGCATGAAACCAAAGGCAGACAGACGGACATTTAGTTGGGTCCAATCGGGACGATTAAAAGTCATTAGTTGAATCATGTAGATAGCTGCTCATGTGGGGACAGTTTGACTCAGAACAGCAGATCAACCAGACTAACTTTGGAGAAACAAGTTACGCATAGAGAAAAGGAGTCCCTTGGGCCGTAATAACTTCAGAAAATGATGAAGGGAACACGTCTCGTTAAAGACGATGTACTGCCCCCTACCATTGAAACAACTAGGAAAATCAATTTTTAGCTCATGGTCCTCCGTTATGGAACTACTCTGCTAATCAGCGGTACTGCAGTAACAATTGGAGGTAGCAGTGTGATCTGAGAGAGCGCACTCAGCACCTTAGTCTAAGCTGCGATCAATGTTGTGATGCCAGTCAATAGCAATACCTAAAGTACTTCTATAGATTTATAAGTGTGTTTTGAGTCGCTGAAGGGTGAAGCGAAAGTGGCATGTCTCTGGTGATGACAATAAGTCTATTTTAATCTCGATTTGGAAGACGACAGATTAAGCGCAGGTAGAATCTGAATTCAGTTGATGTATCCAGGTAAATGGATGCAATAAACATAGTTGTGGAAGAATGACAGCGTATCTGCAAAATCACTAAGTAAAATGATTAGGATATACGAAAGCGCAATATATACATTCGTGAATTTGATGTCGCCTATAATTTATGCGGCTGACGAAGTCTTTAGGAAATGTATCCGCTTAAGTATCCGAGCATTTTACATACTCCAGCACAACAAGTTTCACACTGATGAAGTACTAGGCTGAATTGTATGATTGTGACAACAGTGAATGTATGAAGTTATAACCATATTGAAGTGTGACACTGAGTGAGATAGTCTTCTAGTACCTGTCGCTGAATTATCAGAAATACTTGTGTCGTTCATAGTGGATTTTCATTATGTGAGGAAAGAGAATGTTTCGTTGGTGCTCAGCTGATTGTGAGATGAGATGAATTGCCTAAAAAGGGAAGTCAATGAAGTAGTTTCTTTATGGGATTCTGGTGAGGAGGTGAACAACTTGAGTAAACAAGTCTACTGAAGTGAAAACGAATAAGACAGCAACTGACTGACACCAACCAATTAAGGCAATCTTAATACATAAGATTATGCATCATGATTTCTAGGCTGCATTATTCTTACTAGTAAATTACTGTCTCATCTGTCATAAGGTAAAACACGTATTGATTTCATAGTGATGTCAGTCGTCTCCACAGACTGATCGAGTTTTGAATCTGATTTCCTGAGACGTTTCACTTACACGAAATAAGTGCTCCAGATTTGTCAAAAGACTCGATATAGCGTTACATTTCCAAGTGACGGATGTTAAAGGGTTGGAGGCAATCGCGAAGAATGACTGCATTTAATTCCATGTCTATTGGAACTCATCATCTCAATGGGAGCGAGTTGGTTCTCTTACATACTCTTGTGATTTGAGCCAGAAACAGCAGTCATTATCTAGTGGTTGCTTGCATAACTTACGCGGCTAGTCACAACCATAAAGAATGCAACGGATTTATCTTATCGTGCAGAAACTCCTCCCACTGTGTGATTCAATTTTATGGAGTGAAATTTCTACAGGTTATAGTGTTTCAGCCTTTTCCCAGGCTCTTCTCTTCCTTTCTTTTGATGCTTTTTATTGCGTTTCCTCCGTTTTGCTGTTTTTTGTTTATAGGTCTTTTCCTTTATATCCTTATTATTTCGTCATATTTTATCATTCCTTCCCTCCATTTTGTTTTATTATGTTTTTTTATTTTCCATTACCAGTATTTTTTGCTTGCTTTGTTTTATCTTGTTTGTGATCCTTCTTTATTTGATTGTTTCTTATCTCTTCCTATTTTGACTTATTTCTTTTTTAACAATAATTTATTTGTAGACGTATGCTTTTTTGTTTTGAATTTACGTGTCCAGCTTCAAGACTGTTTTTCGATTATATAGATTTAATATCCACAATGGATTTTTTTTGGTTGATACTTTTTCTTTTTGTAATGTAGAGAAGACTGATCACGTTCCACAGAGCGCTATGTTCGGAATTTTCAGTAGTATTTACTGTCATACACGTTTTCTCTTCCTCGTATTCTTTATAGATTTTTTCAGAATGATCTTTATTCCCTTATCTGGAACGCTTTTCATCTCTGTGCTACTCTAGTTTTCTCTTTTAGAAGTCATCACAAAATATTCTGAATAGTATACGCAAATAATAATTCAACTCTTATTCTTTATCTCTCTCTCTTGATTTATTTGGAATCAGTTGTAAGTTGCATGTAATTACATCTGCCTAGCATGTGTCAGGTATGTAGCCAACCACCAGAAAAAGATAGTTATGCATTCATCAGCTTTCTGGTTGCATTAAGGACAAATGAGTTCATGGACTTTCAGCAAATTTTGAGGATAAACATTGGTTCTATACTCATCTGATGTCTTTCTTTCATAGTGAAGACTGTCGACGATGATTTAGACAGTATTCCATCTGTTTTAATCTGTGATAGTGATGTATGATTTTACCTCTTTTACCATTATCAATGACTCCTAATATTACTAACAGTTTCTGGAAAAACGTCTTCAGAACTTTTTATTTGCCAGCGTCACAGCTGACTGAGTTATTATTACAAGGATTTATGATATTCGTATAATACGGTAAATGTGACAACAGTATGCCTACAGCAAACTCCAGCGAAATAGGATTATCAGGAAGATAGCTAATTAACAATATGTATAATTATTCTGAAATTAAGAGTTACACTTTTCCCACGACAACCTTATGTTTTAACGAAGGAAGAAGGGAATATCCAAATGGCAATTGGTTTGAATAATCTGCATTGTGTGTCGTCTCTTCGCTTAAGGACCAAGTATTGCTGTAACTACTTCCCAAACTCCAAGACTAGAAAATCAGAAAGCGTGTAAGTGTGAAATTCAAGGACGATTCCTATTCTAAACTGATATGTATATATATTTTCTAAAACATACTAGATAGATAGCATGAACAATGCTTAATGTAAATTGGGCCTAATAACTAAATATTTTGTCACCAAGCGCAGACTTCGTACATAATAAGACTGTCATAAAGAATAAATTACTCCTAAGAAGTCGACCCAGTAAAACATTGTATTGACGACCATAAGGTATTATCAATTAAAGATATTCTAGATCACTTTTAAAACTACCGCATGTTAAAAAGCTAGTAATCAAATCCTTTTAATTTGCTCAAAAATACTTTAATATATTTTGGAAAAGAAATTAATAATTTTGTAGTAATTTAAGAAGAGAGAAATAGATTACATTTACGGCATCAGTACTCCAGAAGTATCCTAAATGGTTATAATTACGAATATAGTTTATTGAAATAACAGTTTTATTGATTTTTCGCATAAGTCTTTCAACATTCTTCTTCGTGCATAAGAAATCATTTCCTCCGTGATAAATTACAGTTGGGACATTAAAATTTTGTAAAGTGTATTCAGGTGGTTTGCTCTGTCCGTAAACTTGTCTATTTAACCTAGCTCCATAGTCGAATTTCTGTAGCTGACCACTATTGATCATCTATTTGGAAATAAAGATCACATTATTTACTGCTTTTATGCTACTAACTCTTAAACTATTCAATAATTAGAAAAGTTTAACTCACCCAGAAATAAGAACAATTAGCGAAGTGGCTACTGCCTGCTTCAGCTGCTTGTTGACACTACTCGATCTTAAAGAATCCCTTTTCAAAAACTAGATTCTTCCAAAATGTTAGTTTTCACAGGAACCGGCAGTTAAAAAAGGTTTTACTTCTGCATAAACAAACCTCTTGTAGTTTCCGAAGAGATACTAGTCACATCAACTAATTCTGTAAACTAAACATTCCATATATGATAGAGAAGAGTTTTAGCTCAGGTGGATGATTTCGATGTGGTTGTGTTCTCTGAGCTGGATAGTTAATTTGCGAAGCATTCGTTGCCCTACTAGGCGACATCTTCAGCGCATACTTCAATTTGAAGTGAGCTGTTAGATTTCTCTACGAGTTTATTAATCGTCTCTCCTGGTGACCTTGGACGTGATTGGTTGTTTTTGTGTGTTTTCACACCTTCTAGGTTACTTGCATTGGAACTGATTGTTTCTTTGATTTGAACTTTGACCCTTTGTGTGTGAAGTTTCTTTCTTATCGGTTAATAAATTTTGTCTATCTCGATGTGTCTATTGATCGATGATTCACTGGAATGCCAAGCTTCTTAAAATTCTCTATCATTCTTGTTGTTTCCCCTGTCTAATATTCGAACGTTGTCCCAGTCGAACTGATGTCCGTGGTTGTCTGTATGTAGTGATATGAGGGAGTGGATGTGATGTATTTTGACGGATAGCTTATGTTCGTGGATACGAACATTCTATTCTGTGATAACGGATTATCATTGACCTAAAACGTGTACATTGATAACGACCTGAGATTTATGACTATATCTCTATTGACAGTTTTCACGTTTCATATTATTCAGGTGACCGAAATGAAAATTTGAATCTTATATACTCAGTGGAGGTAACAGTAATCAGTTCATCATATTTGATATTTCAGTGACCGGAATCACAAGTTGTTTTATTTCGAAAGTGTTTTTCTTTCACTTAGTTACGAAAACACAGAATATCCTCGTCTCATGCGCTCAATTATAAATTTGGAGCTATATTTTGCACCTCTAGTCATTATTTTATGACTTGAAGTGAATAATTCTGCAGCGTTTTCTGTAGAATTTTGTCAACTCCGTAAAACTATGGTTCGCTTGATAATTTCGCAGTAATATAACAAATCTAATTTAATTAGTCGGGGCATCTAATGAATTTTCAAATAATCCTTTCAATCACCTTCTTTTAGCTTGTCTTAAAATTGATCAAAGTAACATATACTTGAGTTATTCATGCTATAGGTTTGCATTCATCACAAATGAAACATAATCATCATGTGGTGACTTTTACTTCATTGCAGTGTTCACAAACCACCAAGGGAACAGCTCATTTATGAAATCTGAAATTATGCTTATAGAAAATAAGGAACTCTAATTTGATCAAATATGCATCCTATTCAGTAGTTCTCCTGAAGCTACTTTCTGGGTCAGATTATTAAGACAGCTACAACACCTTTGATGACATTTATGTGATACAAATATTTTATTATTACTATTGTTTCCTTTAATTCCTAGACGAACATAGGGCTTCAGGCGAACGTCTCCAATGCGTTCGGTTCTCTGACAACGTTTTCAACCGTCTCCAAGTATGTCCACATGCTTTCATCTCCTCTTCACATGACCTCCTCCATGTCAACCTCTCACTGACGACTAACTCGCCGCTTCCCATACGGGTTCCACTCGAGCGATGGTCTAGTGTGTGATGTCACTTGATGGTTTGTTTTCTCAGAGTATGGCCAGTCCATCTTCATTTCTCCCTGCATATTTCTTGCACAGTCGGTCCCTGCTGGGTTGGTTCGCTCCCAGAGATCTCTGTTGCTGATCCTTTCTGACCATCTGATCTTGAGTATTGAGCTAAGACACCTGTTGATGAAGGTATATAGTTTGTTTGAAATGATCTTGGTGACGCGGCGCCAAGTCTCTGATCCGTATAGTGAGTAATGACTAGAGGTGCAAAATATAGCTCCAAATCTATAATTGAGCGCATGAGACGAGGATATTCTGTGTTTTCGTAACTAAGTGAAAGAAAAACACTTTCGAAGTAAAACAACTTGTCTGATGTTGGCTAATTCTGATAAAATTTATCAAACTTCAGATTAGTTTTACTTACCTGACTAAAGTGGACAAGATTTTTAATTGAGGTCCCTGCCGGGGAATGTGAGATTATCAGTGGAAGACGTGTCTATAACACAGAAAATATGTATACGTCGTCTGATTGTAACGTTAGGAAGTGAAATTTAAATATTTTGAGTGTGAAATTACAGTAAAAATTTCAAACCTTGGGTACAACATTTGTCTCTTGCGTTTAAAGCAATGTAAGGGCTGCATTTTTTTCAACGGAATGTAATATTTGTCCCTCAGGATATGAAGGACAACTTGAAAGTTTTAATCACTATAATGTTCCCTAGAAAAGGGTCTTGGCATTGACTTCAGTGTAAACTAGCAACTCATTAGAAATACTTATTTGGAAGTGATATCTGTTTTTTAGCTAAGTGGAATCTTGTCAACCAGTTGAAGTCCCGTATTTTCTATCTTCAAAGTCGTTGAGAAGATGACTGCTAGTACGTCGGTAAGAGTCATGCTTCATACAATAACACATAGTAGGGCCCTTCGAATTCAACAATTTTCCATATGTTGAAAAAAGACGTGACAAAGCTAATGGATACATTCGTAATATATTTTTGTGACAGCTGGGCGAGGCAGTGGGAAATTTTGCACTTCCTCATCATTCTTTCCTTCTAAATATATCACTTAATATTAATATGAAATTGAGTAAATTACAAAACTTTAGATACCATTGTCAACCAAGTAGATAAACCAAGTCGACATTCTGACTAGCTGTTTTCCTGCATTTGAAACTGAAGTTAAATCACAGATTCAAATATTTAACTTTAAATTGTATGGAGGATTTCACCATGAGCTGGCATCAGTTAGAGAACCACTACTCCCAGGTTTTCCAGTTGTTCTCTAACTGATGTCAGCTCATGGTGAAATCCTCCATACAATCAAACAAAAAAATCCCTACAAAACCAATACTTGAAAATTAATCTGATGCTCACTAGCGACTGGGTCTATTCAGGCAGTTAACCTGGAGTTCTAGTGGGAAGCCGTGACCAGTAGGGTACAGCAGGTCGAAGATGAGGCAGTAACTCGTCGAGGAAGACATTGGGAAGTGGTTGCGCTATGTCGTGAATTGGCAGAAGTTAGAATTCAAGAACTTTTGAATCGGGTCCCAGTGGCTCAATGGTCTACGAGCTCGCCTTGCAACCAGAAAGTCCTGGGTTCGAACCCCGGTGGGTGCGTACTGCTGAGGAGTCCCAAACTAGGACGAAACAGCTGTTCAGTACTCCCAGGTTTTCCAGTGGTTCTCTAACTGATGTCAGCTCATGGTGAAATCCTCCATACAATCAAACAAAAAAATCCCTACAAAACCAATACTTGAAAATTAACTTTTAAGTCGAGCTCAGACCTAATGACTAGTCACTAGTTCTAGTTATCTTAAGTCAGCTGACGTTAGCTGGATTATAAATGTTTGGTAACATTGTGAATTTTTTTGATTTAGAGCTATTAAATAATATGGGCGTTTTTAAGCAAGTGTATATTACTTTTAAGTTTATAGCATACTTTCCTAATACCAATTTCTTCCTTCACATAATCAGATTCTATGCCTATGTGTAATAGCATTTGAAGTTGGATGGCTTTTAATTATAAGATCGGATGCCATCATATGAAGTTTTAGGTGGAAATTGAAACTGATATCTAAGTATATAATTCTCTGTAATAAATCTTATTGAATATTTCTGGATTACACAAAAAACATATCTATAATCTGCTTAATAATATTATAAATTTGTCAGTTAACTTCAGTTCAAACCCATCAACACCACCAGACGTTCACTGTAATTAATAAACAAGTATACAATACAATGCACTGAAGTACATTGTAATCTGCATCCTAACCAGAATGGCATATTCGCACAGTTTCTGAATTTAAGAATGTATGATGTAAATTTCAATCTTAGGAGGGACATTAGCTTCCCCACTGTTGCATTATAAACAATTTCAGTGAGATAATCATTTCGAGGTCAAGACTTAACTGGGATTTCTGGTGATTATCCAGTGACATCTGATACAATTCTGCTTTAGCAAGGATGTAGTCATGAGGTGATGATGAAGGAGCTAGCGGGAAATTCATTAGTAATTGATATTAGTTTATGACGACGAAATTCAGTTTGACATCAGTAAAATTCGTATAAATCAAAAATCGGAACATTTTTAGTTACTATTTGCAAGAGAGGAAACAGGAGGAGAATTCATGAGAAATACAAATTTCAAAGTTAGAGGATTCCACTTGTTACGACTAATTAAATTCAAGTGTACTTTTGATTGGGCACTAGTTAGTAACTAGTGTAATTGGTCTAGTCCTTTGTTCGGCGTAGACTGAATTCTACCAGTCAAATTTGCAATTAATTAATGCCCAATCAAAAAGTATTCAATACAGTCCTATTGGAGGTCAATAGCGAGTACAAATAGCTCAGTGGTAACGTCTCTGACTGCAGTACTCACTGGGTGACGCATGTTCGAATATCAGAAGGGGAATAAGTACCTTCAAGGTTTCAGATACGCCTTGCTGACTGGTGAGTGCCAACTAGCACAAAACCTAAGTCGAAGACCTCCTGCTGACTGCTTCCAACTGTCTAATAAAATCCTTGTTTTCATGTATGAATGTATGTATGTAGCAACACTTAATGTCTTTACACCTTTGTATCTGCTGTTAAGATGATATTCAATAGTTGTTTCTAATGCTTATATGTAGCCACACAATGCAAATTATGTTTACCGATAAATCTCTTGTGGATATGTATAAATATAAGCTTATAAACAACTGATTAAAAATAGTATTTTTTTAAAAGAGATATACCACTAATAGAAAGTGAAATTAATTACTTTGATATTATTAGTACCTTTAAGTTGTTGCTGCCTACTGATCCAATGATAGCTATGATCCACTGCGTTGCTTTTATCTTACTTTTCACATCTCATCAACAAACTCTTTCTTGTTGCTTAGAGACTTTTTGACGGAATATTCTGAATATAGGACTACTCTTAGAAACAGTAAGTTATGCAAAATGAAAAGGAAAACAAGAATTATATTTCATAATCTCACCAGATTAGTGTTGGACCCATCGTTTCCAGCAATACTATTAATGACTGACATGCAAAGGTAAGGGTCCAGTCCGCAAACATACTTCCCTAGAAATTTTAAAATGTCATTGGAAGGAAGTATTTCACCATTCGTCAGATAACGCATCATGAACTGAAGCATCTTATAATTTTGAGCTAGTGGAAGGAAGGCGCCCTCGACACTTGCAAAGTATCCAACAGGGCCAAATGCTACAAATAAATTTATATATTGTTGTAGTTCTGGGAAAGCATCCAGTGCTGTCATAGCAATAAGTGAACCCTATTTGAAAGTGGAAAAAACAGAAGAATGGATATCGACTTTATTTATTAAGCACAAGTAACACGAAATGCCTTGTTAAAAAAAAATTACAAAACTGCACACACCTGCTATAAATGAACGTTGAAAGGGATATCAATGTACTCTACAGCTAATGATTAAGATCTAAAGTGTGAATAGTATAATTTTCAAGTGTTGGTTTTGTAGGGATTTGGTTTGATTGTATGGAGGATTTAATCATGAGCTGACATCAGTTAGAGAACCACTGGAAAACCTGGGAGTACTGAACAGCTGTTTCGTCCTAGTTTGGGACTCCTCAGCAGTACGCACCCACCGGGGTTCGAACCCAGGACTTTCTGGTTGCAAGGCGAGCTCGTAGACCATTGAGCCACTGGGACCCGATCCAATGGTTCTTGAACTAGGACGAAACAGCTGTCCAGTACTCCCAGGTTTTCCAGTTGTTCTCTAACTGATGTCAGCTCATGGTGAAATCCTCCATACAATCAAACAAAAAAATCCCTACAAAACCAATACTTGAAAATTAATCTGATGCTCACTAGCGACTGGGTCTATTCAGGCAGTTAACCTGGAGTTCTAGTGGGAAGCCGTGACCAGTAGGGTACAGCAGGTCGAAGATGAGGCAGTAACTCGTCGAGGAAGACATTGGGAAGTGGTTGCGCTATGTCGTGAATTGGCAGAAGTTAGAATTCAAGAACTTTTGAATCGGGTCCCAGTGGCTCAATGGTCTACGAGCTCGCCTTGCAACCAGAAAGTCCTGGGTTCGAACCCCGGTGGGTGCGTACTGCTGAGGAGTCCCAAACTAGGACGAAACAGCTGTTCAGTACTCCCAGGTTTTCCAGTGGTTCTCTAACTGATGTCAGCTCATGAATAAATCCTCCATACAATAGTATAATTGTCAAAAGGATAAAATGGCTAAATATTAATAGCCATCCAAACATTAGCTGAATTTCACACTTCTCAAATCTACAATTTTCAAGAAAAATTAAGAAATAAATTTAAAAATTCTCCGACCCACTGACTGAATTTTCAATGATCTGCTGTCATTACTGGAAGGTCTTCAGTGTACACTCCTGAATGATCACTGACTAAGAAGAAATATCTATTCCTGGTCTTCAAAGATTCTCGGAATAATTCCGGTTAGTGATGAAATCTACACTAAAACTATCAGTCTAACTAAACATATTATTTGGAAAAATAATAAAATTTTACCGTGAATTTTTGTATCATTGATTGTCACTGTTTTATATTTATTGTCTGTCATTGAGGTAACTTAAAATGTTAATAACAGTTACCAATACTTTGTCACAGTGTGTAATAACGACGAAACTTATCTAATGTGGAATTACCTTCTGCCACACTGACTACATTTCACCCTTAAATTACTCATACAAAATCTTCATAGACAGCTGATGAATTTCCGAGACGAAATCAAAACCAGTGTACGGCAATGATCACTGCTTACCCACTATATGGTAAGTGTGTTTCTCGAGTAAGCAGTATAATCAGACAAATGTAGAATTTATTTCAGTGTATCGTTTTGCAAGTCATTTGCATGAATGTACTGCATACAACCTCTCAAAGACACACAGTTTGCTTTAACAGAAATCTAATCTAATCTTACAAACTCGAAATCAAAGCATAATAGCTATATGAAAGTGTTTAAAGTCATTTGCTTATTTGTGAGTAAGCTAGTTAATTTTCTAATTCTAAAGTAAATGACGAATACATGTAACTGTCGAAACAAAGGTATGGCCACATCAAAAACATATAGGCATACACTTATATAACAATGATACAATAGGCCTAAACTTCTGAACTTTATTTGGTGATTTTAGTGCTCAGTTTTTGAATTGTTTCTTTAAATCTTTCAAATTTTGGGTTAACACTACAAAAAAATACTCGCTAGCCAATTTAATGTTACATTTTTGAAGAAAAGGTTAAAGCATAATTATTAAAAAAAGATTGACTTTTCCATTTCACTTTGTCAATATCTATTTCACGCTCATCGAAGTGGAAATTTAAATAAATTTAGAGATATTGTCCATAACTTAGCATACCCAGTGCCTATTTATTATATTATTATAATACACTAAGTTGTAGAGTTAATGTTCATAAATTTCCAGAAATAGTGCCAAAATTTATTTGAGCGCTATACCCCCTAGTCTTGAAGTAAGTTAGCCATTGGGAGAATAATACCAACTAATAAGTATATATTTAGCAGTATACATGATTTATCAAAATTCATTTAAATGTGAAGCAGAACTACATAATACTTTCCATGAAATGCTTATGATAATAAATCCTCATAAAAATACAAATAAATAAATAAAAGGTTAAGTACCTGAACTAACACAGACTAATAAAACTACCTTATTCAGTGATCTCATTTATATAAGTTCTATGACCTTTGGTATAAAAATGTATGTTCTAAAAAATAATGATTTATATACAGAATGAACTAATCAATAAGTGTATGAGACCACTTAGTTAGATTTTCATGAGATACAGTGGTAGAATGCTCTAACTGCTTATTGGTTGGAAACACTATTTACTAGATAAATTACTTGAAATTCTAGGTGTGAATGTACTCAGAGTTCCGCTAAAGCACTTAAGGTCAGCGTGTCTCTTAAAGCTTTTCGTCGAATTTGATCGATATTCATGTTAATTTTTGATCTATGTATATTACACTTACGATTCTGTCGAAATTGTTGAGGTTAGAAAAACCAATCACGAAGTCTCATTTAGAATAGCATTACGTGTCTGAACAAAATGATAAATTTTAGAGAAATTTAGTGATACAGAAGTAGGTACAGTCACTTACATAGTCATTTCTGGTTAATAAAGAATTTACGACAGAGAAGAGGGAGGCTATACAAGACAAAATTAGTCTAGATATTGGATTCATAGGGATGTGATTAATTTCCGTGTGTATTTCATTACAAACGGATATCATTTGGATAATTAAATAGCAGGGAACACTGAGTGCTTGTTTCACTTTCATCTAGGAATTTTCGCTTCTGCACACCAATTACTTGTGCAGCCATCGAGCTCAAGACGCTGTGCGTCGGTGACACAGCAGTTAGGACTGTCATCGACCATGCACATGGTCCGGGTTTCGATCCCCGGCCGACGCACACCTGATATCAATGGTCGGCCTGCAAAATTTGAGCTACCTATATCACATCCTGAAAGATCCATACTTATACCAATAGTACAGTGTGTAATCAAGCGATAGTAATAAAAAAAAAGAAATTGGGAGCGAGGCACTTTTTCCATTTAGCCAACTGTGGCGCAGTCACATGACTCTTAAATTTCGAGCAACCGGTTATACATCTTTATATCAAGCCTCTCTCACTGATCAGCATCTATCATCACACATTACTCGATGAACATTGTCGGGTACAGCTTCCTATTATAGATTCAAGACATTTATCTTGGAGCCATCCAGTAATTGGAAGTAGATTAAAATTTAGATGGTTGGGTTATAAAAATTCGACTACAGCATAGTGGCTGAGTGACAAACCTAACAGATTCTCCACTTAGGACCCTGAATTAAGCCATCTTAATGCCATTGCCAAGTCCTCAGTTAGGATGAAATATCTGTCCAAACCACTATTTTTTCCAACAGTCCTCTGATAGAGGTCGGTTATTAAAGAAATCTTAACTGAAAACAAACTTATTTTCCTTTTTTTAACCTGAGACTTCAAACATTACTGGATACCATGTTCTAATTCGATAATTTCTCATTAATAAAATCGGCTATTGAATGATTTGTTCCTAATGGAAAAAAGAGTACCCTATCATGTTGTCAAAGAAAGTGAAAAATGCCCATGCTAGAACTGGAGCACAAATATGTTCCTGTACACCTCAGTCACAATATTTAACCGTGTCATCCTGGAGAGACTAGAACATCCGAGGTATGGAAACATTCAAGCCTAACCGGTTGGTTTCAAATCAATCCATGTGCATGCTAAATCCCAACACTTGTCACTAAAATCGAAGAAAGGTTAGTAAATGGTGTGTCAAAACTTTATTGAGCCCGAAAATTCTCTCAACAACAGTGATTTGTAACTGCTGAAACTTGTGAAAATCATTCAATAGCCATTATTTGATGCCGTATGCTAAGTGAGCCACACGGAAAGCTCTCCGAAGCTATAATTTGAATAAAAGGCTGAGCACTATCATTGTGGATTGGATAATGTGGTAGGACGTACGGAGTAAGAGAGGGGCATAGGTTTGACTTATGAAAAGACCTTAAAAGAGGCATATTTTGCAAATGATTTATGTCTCATATCTCACTTATTTGAAGATTCCCAGACGAAATCCAACGAAATGACAGAAGCATCAGAGAAGAGGCAACTTCAGATGAGCGTAGAGAAGACAGAGTTGATGAAGAAGCCAGCCAACACAAATCAGAATCAGTGTGACAAATATGAAGGAAGTCGTTTCACTCACTCAGGAATGGTAAATTGAGACAGGCATTCATCACTCTGAACTCCATGTGAAGGTTCACACCGCTCATCACAAATAACATGAAACGAATTTGGAACGTTAATATCATGTGAGTGCCTTCATAGGGTTGAGATACTTAAAATTTTACTAAAACACCTTCTTCAGGATGTAGACTTTCATTTCTGAATATTAGTTGGCCAACAGGGAAGGATAAGCATCAAGGAATTATAATTGACGCAGAACCAGTCAAGAAGGTGTTTTCGAGAAAATTTGCAGGAAAAAAATGCAGATGGGTTCAATGTTCGCTGAGGAGGCAGTTAAATGACATCACATATCAGGACCTCGAGTGCAACCAGAATGGTAGGCAACATGTGGGGCATCCAATGTAACATGGGAGGAATCACGTGTAAAAGGAATTGATACCTACGGGTTGTCGTGAACCATGGTGAAAATGACTTCATAGAAGAAATAATGTGCTGAAGTCCCTTGTCCTACCCTATTCACAAGGAATGAATTTCTACTGCACATGCATTCAAAGATGAATAAAGACATTAAATCTCCTGCTTATCTGCTGAATAGCAAATATATGTTACAATAACTGCTAAACAAAATTTAGGATAAGACAAGCCTACTTTACAGATGTGGTGGTTGTTTCATGAACTTACTTGAGAAAATCCAACGTATGTAAGTCTTTCTACTTTTGTTATGGATAGGATGTATTGAATTGTAGCAGGAAAATCATAGTTAGACATTTCTTGCCAAGTAAAGTCCCAGAACTCTGCTTGACTTGAATCAAAACGTTGATGCTTTTTGGAATATGTACTACCTCTGCTATTTCCAAGCCATACATCATAATCATTGTCAGCTAAAATATATGCTAGACTCTGATTCTTCAAGTTCATTGTCCATGCATGCGATGAGTCCAGTAGTCCATGTTGTAATAAAATGACTTTGTTCCCTGAAGGTGAAAAAGTAAAGATATATTCATTGAGAATGAACCCAACATAAATGATAGAATAAAGTAAAATCTCAGAATTTATTTGTTGAAACATACTCTTATGACTTGTTTTGTTCTTGTAAAGTCTGATTAAACACAGACTATAATAATCTTCAGTAATAACCTCATGTTCTTCAACTATATAGCCTTCTCTACGTATTATCTCACTCTTCAAATATGACAATTATATATTCAGAATTTTAAATAACTTACAATATTCATATAAATTTCCGGGTCTATATTCCCACCAATGAACATTGCAGCTGTTAGGTTTGAATTTAAGGAGCAATATCCTATCCATCTTATTAAAGATAAGAAAGATATAATATAAAAATGAAAATACCTAAAATAAAATTAGTTACCATACGAAATACATCAGTTACATTTTAATGAAAATGTTTTCCAGCTTATCAGAAGTCGAGTATATTCGCAGATAACAGTAAAATCAAAAGATTTTCGGTGTTAAGATTCGTGATTATTGTTTGTAGCTAGGTGCTATTTGTATCCAACGTATCGGATAATATCAGGAGGCAAAAAACAAAGTGTGGTGAGATCAGTTGACTTTGTACTTACAGAAATGAAAATAATCGTGATTATAGAGATTAAACCAATTTTGCAAATAACCTTCAATTTGTGCGTGTATCGTGGTCTGACTGGAGAGATAAAAAAAACCACAAATTATTGCAGTTCAACTTCAAAGTTTAACAATTTAAGGATCATCATTTAATGAAGACAAAATTAAGTAGTACCTATAAAATATGAAAATGAATCATTATTTTACGGTAAGAAAAACACAGTTCTGCAAGCACAGTACTCTTTCAAAAGAATTTGAGCAATTCACTTCAAATCTAGTGTAGCAGAATAGGCATCTGTGAGATAAATCCCACATCCTCCTTCATGCTTAGCATAAAAACCAGATAAGGACTCGCCAACACTATAGTCTAGGGGCATATAAATTCCTTTACAAAATGGGCAAAGGCTATACTGCCAGACCCTCTGCACCCTCTTTATTCACACCTATCCCCTTGTATCTCATCAGGTAGGACGAGAAGTCAATATAAAAAGTTATATGCTCGTACCACTAAGTACAGAAATTCTACAATACCCTATTTAGCCCGTACTTTTTGTGACGAAGACTCTGTTAGACGTGAAACACATAAGTTACTATGTAATTAGCACAGTGAATCGACCCTTTCATTGTTCATCCTTCTGTATTTTATGGTGTCACCATTTCTGTCGTTTAATTATTACTCTGCTACTTTATTTTAGTTGGTATTACTACTATTACTAGAATTTTATACTTTATGCATATTTTTCTCCTTATTGCATACAGTATTTTGCTATGTAATCAAAAATTCAAAAAAAAAAATAAAAATATGTAGCTGCTGTAACAATCGTTTTATTATTGTTATGTAATGTGTATTTATAATTTTTTTTGTTTTTTGTCGTTTTTGAGTAAATTAGATGCAATATTGTACTGAATGCTGAAAATTCCTTCCTGTATCATTAGTACTGTTTTTGGAATAAAGCAAAAATTATTATTATTATTATTAAAAGAAACAGAGTAGGGGAAAATTTCATATGTGCACAAAAAAGCAATAGCAAATTAGAAAGAAACAAGGAATTCCCTATGAAAACACAGGGAGAATGAAATAACGGAATCAGAATTCACAAACAGGAGGAATAGAAATTTAACTAGAAGATATGCCCAAAAATAATTCAATGAACAAAACAAAGAGATATAGGCAAAAAACTAATGCATTCGAAAACAAAACCGGGGATTGGTGGTAATTAAAGAGAAATGGTAAGGCCGTGGGTATAGGACAGGGGATTCTTCCTAGTTTGCTACTCATCGTCATCACTCGACCACTGAGGTTGGAACCCACGACCTTCCGGTTACAGGTGAAGCTCATAGACAATTCAATCACTGGCACTGCCCGACTTAGTCGCCCAGGAATTCCAACTTCTACGAATTCGTGATTTCAACCAGACCACCAACCAATGTCAATGGTAAGTATTGTCCTCACTCCCAACCGGATCGACTCCACTCGTTACCACCTTTGACTAGAACTGCAGGAGACTTCCTCCTGTAGCCAGTCACTAGAGAGCATCACATTCATTTCTGAGAGTTAGTTTCTTTGATTTGTTTGAAGTTTGATCGGGACTGATGTAAGTTGAACTACGGATAGACGTCGCTGGGTTGAGTAGGCTCATTAGTTATGTTTGTTTGAAGTTTACGTCGACCAGGAACAGATCATTTTCTGAACAGAGATGTCGAACAGAATCACCACTGTCAGTTTGTAAGTGTGGAACTCTATATAGACTGCCAATATACTTTTGTAGAGGTCGAAAAATATCAAAGTATACGTTCATATTAATAAAAGTAAAACTAGTGAATTCAATAAACATCATGGGTGTTAAGTGATATATTGAATAATCGACTCCATCTAGTTCAACACGCACTATGGACGATACAACATCCCTTCTCCAGTTTCTTGGCTTACCGCTACATCGCTGTCCGGCGACCAATTCATACATCTACATTTATTCCTCTTACTACAACTTCCTCTTCTCTTCAAAAGTACATCTCGCGCTGTTGGCATACCCTTGCGTGGAGTAAGCAATAGTAGATCAAGAGAGCAACTTCGTCACTTTAAATCAATAGATATATATTTGCGTATTTCGGAACGGCGATAACTCACCAAATATAGCTGTATCTAACAAATATATATATATATTAAAGCAAGATCCTGTTTGTATTGGAATTACACTTTGCGTGTAAAGGGGGTTAGCCCAGCAGTCTTCTGCACTTCTAGAAATTTTGAGACCATTAATAGCGAGCAGAATCGAAAAAACACTGATAGTCTCTTAAAATCATGTTGGTAGCTATATACGGAAGCCTTCTATGTTTGAACGCCTTACTGAATCAGACAACAGACTTCACCAGGTAGAACTCTGCCATCTCGAGTTATGGAATGTGAGTTGTGTTTTGGATATAAAAACACAAGACCAGAATGTGATTATCCCTTTACCTTACCTGACCGATATCTATAAAATTCACCACACAGGCCTCAGGTGATTCTTCGGCTAGTTTGCATTCCGGTGTAGGAATACCCACGAGTGTTAAGGCAGAAGAATCTCTACTCTGCTGGATTCTAGTGCACAATTGTATGTGTGCGGTGTTTGGATGAACACCTTATGAAGAAGAAAGGATTGTGGTAGCTTCCGATATGTTTTCATAATCTCTGCTTATGCCCCAGTTCGGATTAAGTACAAATAACTTTATGAAAAGCTGTCTGGTGTGCCGTCGAAGGATAAGTGTTCAGATAGTGTCAGCTAAGCTGTGACTTCAATGCTCGAGTAGGGGAGCTGTATCACTCAGGAAAGTGTAGTGGACACTATGTTAAATGCTTCATCATATAGGTTCCGATTACAGAGACGATTAGTTTCTTGTGCATGTCTTGAAAGACAACGATTTGAATATCGGAATACCCAAGTTAAAGGAACTTCTACTTAGATGCACTGTGAACGTTCAGCTGACATTCAATGGTTGTATTGATAGACATCAAGATTGTGTGGCTACTGATTCATATTTAGGCCCGTTACTTGCAGATAACTTCATGCTAAGTTAGGAAAATGAGCAGCTGAAACCGACAATCTGCGAATTCTCCATGTACAAAAGGTACGTTGATGACAGTTTATTAATCTGTGACAACAAATGTGGCCTAAATAATGTCCTTCAGGTTTTTAATAGCCGCCACCCGACCGTCAAAATTGCACTTGAAGCAGAAACCGGAGAGACAGTCTCATTTCTGGACTCCCGACTAACAAAGAATACTGATGGGACTCTGGAGAGATAATAATATCGAAAACCTACGTAAGAACGATCAGCTGACAAACTTTTACAGTTGAGTGCCTATCAGCCGAAGGCGGAATCTGATAATATCTCTTCCGACTGGAATCTGTAAAATCAGCAGTCCCGAATCAGTTGAAGAGGAAGACACCAACTGAGAATGTCTACTCACTACGCTTTATAGATAAACACACATAAAGCCGAAATTCAACAAAGAGAAACCCATCTCTATGCCAAAGAAGATGACATATATGAATATGGTGTCCAAAGGCGACCTTCTGGCCGAGAACCTAAAGAGAAGAATACCTGAAGCCCTGTAAAGAACATTCCTTGATGCTTCATTATGATCGGTATTCTCAAGCCACTCACTGTTCTACAAAGATAAACTATCTCATTTCATCACTTCTGTGTGTATCTACCAATACACTTGTTCATGTGAAGCAAGATGTATAGGTCGTTCGGTGCGTGTTTCATCTAAAAGAGTTAAAGAAGATTATTCTGCTTGGCTAAGAAAAGGTAACAGTGGATCAATAAAGAGTGCTATAATTGAACATATAGTCAACACTGGTCACTAAATATGTACCGAGAATTCATTCAATGTCATCTACAAAGTCAGAAGAAGCCTCCCGGAAACGGTAAGCTTCCGTATACTTCGCATTGCTGAGGCCTAATAGTTCCGGACAGAAAACCCTGATTTATGTACACAGAAGAAACTTCCTCTCCCCTCCTTCTACCTTGGGGATAATTCCAAGTTCTACTACGTTGTTAACAATGCTTTTAGTTTGAATTTTCATATGATGTTTCAGCAGCGTGTTTTTCTTAGACGACTCTTTATTTGCTCTTCCTGCCTACTACACAATTTATTTTTGACACTTATCTCCATACACTTTCACTAACAAACTATTTTTCTGGGTGTCTTTCATATTATGTCACCCTTGTCAATACTTATCAGTCTTCACCATCTCAGTTGCTATTTGATTACTCATCACATTTTAGAAACATTTTGATGACGTGAACAATAATCCTAACTAATTTTTACTTTTGGTTGACGGTCTTAATGTACACACATGCATACACACAAAATAATTGCATATTAATGCAACTGTACAAATAAATTTCTGAATTTTCCGAAGAGAATGGCTTTGCTATTTTTTTGTTTTGATATTCGGATTTGTACCTATAGGTATCTGTGTATTTGCGAATCTGTGGAAACGCCTTTGATTTCGTGAGCGCGCTGTGAAATTGTTAGTTACCTGTGTGCAGTGTGACGCTTTTGATTTATTGTTAGTAGTATAACAGGGATTCCTACTGTCACCGATTATACGCCTGAATATGGTGAACTGAATCATGTAGCAGACTGTGGGAAGCAATAAGATATTTATATGTTGTATCGATAAGAATACTTGGAGTTTCCGGATGATATATAGGAGTAAACCAAGAAATTAACAGAAGCAGCTGTGAAGAGAGGTCTCCAAAGGAATATACAGAACCTGGAGTTCTAGCGGGAAGCCGTGATCAGTAGGGTGCAGCAGGTTGAAGATGACTCAGTAACTCATTGCAGAAGACATTGCGAAGTGGTGGTGCCAGGTTGGTTGTGTTACAGATTGTTAAGGAAAATAAAACGATTTGGACAATGATAATTTGTAACTAAGGATGAAGTGGTCATATGAATAAAATAATTTTACTAGTAAAACATGTAATTAAAGATGAAGTAGTCAGAACAAATAAAATAATTTTGACAATAATTTTTTATCGTTTCCAATGTGATCTCTTCAGACTTAACTATAATATATATAAGTTTACAAATAAAATTCAAATATAAACCAATCATAGTGTTTTGTCTATATGATAATACGATGGTGAATATAAATTGTGCAATTAGTCACAATAGTAGTAATGATAATAATATTAATAATAATAATGGTGTTATCAATAATAAGGATTAAAACGTGAGGCAATCTGTCATAACACGAATAATGAAAAACAGCATGATTTAACGCTATATATATATATATATATATATATATATATATATATATATATATATTAGAGTTAAACCTGATGAGATCTAATTGAAAACAATATTGTTCGTTTAATCCTGCTGTTTTTCATTATTCGTGTTATGACAGATTGCCTCACGTTTTAATCCTTATTATTGATAACACCATTATTATTATTAATATTATTATCATTACTACTATTGTGACTAATTGCACAATTTATATTCACCATCGTATTATCATATAGACAAAACACTATGATTGGTTTATATTTGAATTTTATTTGTAAACTTATATATATTATAGTTAAGTCTGAAGAGATCACATTGGAAACGATAAAAAATTATTGTCAAAATTATTTTATTTGTTCTGACTACTTCATCTTTAATTACATGTTTTACTAGTAAAATTATTTTATTCATATGACCACTTCAACCTTAGTTACAAATTATCATTGTCCAAATCGTTTTATTTTCCTTAACAATCTGTTACGCAACCAACCTGTGCACACACCTATTCCTTAACTACTCTTCATTTTTCCAAAATTATGCATTATTCAATCCAGTATGTGTAAATTTTTGTTTTAATAAAGTCTCACAGTGTTATACAGTAATTTTTACTGATGACGTTTCGAGCACAATTTATTGCTCATAGTCATATCAAGGTGCTCACAAGACTTCCTAACTTCATTTATATAGTTCCATTATTTTTCACTTGATTTGTTTGGCAGTAGTATTTGCCATATTTCAGGTATGAGTGATGACTCATTCCTATTGCATGTGTTTGGTGTAGACTCGATGAACAAGGATTCAGTAATCAACCTCTCTCTCCACCTATTTAGATTACTTTTAAGAATTTTAACCCTCTCCCAACCTATTGTGTGGTTGTGCGTTAATGCATGCATTGCAATAGCTGAGCTTTTTTCTAAATTACTTGTCTTTGCAGGATCAACCCTTCTTACCTAAGTAATTTAGAAAAAGCTCAGCTATTGCAATGCATGCATTAATGCACAGCCACACAATAGGTTGGGAGAGGGTTAAAATTCTTAAAAGTAATCTAAATAGGTGGAGAGAGAGGTTGATTACTGAATCCTTGTTCATCGAGTCTACACCAAACACATGCAATAGGAATGAGTCATCACTCATACCTGAAATATGGCAAATACTACTGCCAAACAAATCAAGTGAAAAATAATGGAACTATATAAATGAAGTTAGGAAGTCTTGTGAGTACCTTGATATGATTATGAGCAATAAATTGTGCTCGAAACGTCATCAGTAAACATTACTGTATAACACTGAGAGACTTTATCAAAACAAAAATTTACCCATAATGGAATTATAATCTACCACAGTGCACAAGTTTTATTCTTATATCAATGGCCAGCTGTCATGTGAATGAATTATGCAATCCACATGTTGTAACCATTTCTGCCTTTTAACTGTGCGTATTAATTTTCTTCGTTAATTATCCCCCCATTGACATGTTAACACTGACTCATTATTGTTAACAAACACATATCGTCACTTGATTGGTAAACTATTGTATATTGTAATAAAAATTATATATATTAGAGTAGAGCCAGAGATGAGGATCTAATTGAAAAGTAAATATTTCTTCGCTCGGTCTTTCTGTTTCCTAGATTTCGTAATAAGCACTTAACAGAATCTCTGTCAATAGTGCATACATTACATATATAACTAAGGCTTACGCATTAAAGTTAATGACGCTTAAAAGACAAACAAGACCAGTGTGAATAAAATTTATTTTGATCATATCTCACACTGTTTTACAGTTATGTTTACTGATGATGTTTCTTTTATGTAGGTGGAGAGAGAGGTTGATTACAGAATCTTCTTTCATAGAATCTACACTCAATACATGCAATAGGAGTGACTCATCACACGTACCGGAAATATGGGAAATATTACTATCAACCAGATGAAGAGATGAGTAATAGTGGAGCTATATAAACGAAGTTGAAAAGCCGTGTGAGTAACTTGATATGATTATGAGCGTCAATAAATTATGTTCAAAACGTCATCAGTAATTATTACTGTATATAGCACTATGTGATTTTATCAAAATAAAATCCTATCCACAATGGAATTATACTCTACTACAGCGAACAATTTTTATCCTTATATCAATTAGCAAGACCGGTATTTATTCTGGAGGCATAGTAGTCAAAATATTGCTAGGTACTAAACAGACATAAGATGTGTCTTAACTATATTAACTGTAGTGTAAAATGACACGCTTATCTACATTTTTGCGGGCGGAGAACTGAATCGAACAAACCCCAAAATAATAAGAGCAGAAATAGATGGTTAAGAAGAAATGCAATTATATCTTACTGAGAACTATGCAGATCTCTACACAACAAGAGACGTAGGATTCATATCAACAAATATATTTTGATTTTCGTAAGCCAAGCTTTTAAGTGAAACAGATTATAATGTACAAGATAAGAATTCATCATTATGGGATATGCATATATATATATATATATATATATATATATATATATGCGCATACATGGCAAAAAGTTGGAGACTGTTCACATAAGCATACTGAATAAGTTAGCTCACTAATGGTTTTCAAAAACTCAAACAAACAGCTCTTGAATATTGGAAAACAAGGAAACGCACCATGAAAATAATCTGCTTCAGTTAGTCCGTACTGTTTTCGACTTCCATGTTTTTAACATCTGATATCTTCCTTGCCAAACCAGCATTCTTCCGCTGCACTTCTTTCATCCACGGTGCTAAATTCTCATCTTGCATTTTTAAATTTTGTCTCTGCTTTTTCTTCATAGCCGCTTCTCTAAGCCAATCGGGCGCTCCTTCACCATCTTTGGACATTACTTCCTCCCATCTCTTTTCCACATCTCTTTCTCGTTCTTTCTGCAATTGTTTCTTTATGATTTCGTCTTTCCAGTCACATGCTTGACTCATTTTTGTAATGTTATAAACATGAACAGTTAACAAATACAGTTAGGGTATAAGATCAAATCAAAAACGTGACGCTGTTCCAATAAATTGATTGGGGGCGAAATAACCAATCAATTGTTAAATCAATAACGAGGCAAGGAAGGAAAGGGTAGTGTGATTGGTAATTTACATATGCTAAGGGTTTATTAATAACCAATAGAAATTAAGTAACGTGGACCAATGAAAATACGTACTCCATTGCAATGAGACATTCGCATTGTACAGGTGAAAAAGAATGTTGAGATGAATGACTATAGCTATTCTTTGGCCAAATTTAAACTCTTACTTTTTCTCAACGGCTTTTAAATTCTACCTGGTAGAATATGTTATCTCGTTCTGAAGATGTAAAAACCAAAACTAGTTTCTATTCTTTACCAGTTATTGAAATATCATTTGAAAATAAACGTCCCTCATTACGAACATTCAGGTTAAATGTTACATGTTCTTTAAATAGAACTTCTCATGCAGATAGAATTGTTATACTCATTTAAATTTCAAGGAATTCAAATATTCCCTATCCGCTTGGTATCAAAACAAAGTTTACCAAAGAAGATTTAGTGTAATGACGAATTGTTTTTGATCCTATAAACTTTCTAATTGATGGGTCTTCTAAAAACTTTAGGATACGATCCAAACTCTTCTTATAGAGAGGTTTAAAAGACGTGTAAACATCAATTTTATGTCATGTCTCTATAATATGTTTTGTAATAGAGGAGCTAGGTCTCCTGTTCTCACCATTAATGAGTTCTTGGGATTCTATTTATTTCTGGAGCCACATAGGAATATTCTCTGAAGCCGTTATTTGCATAGGTCGACGAGTCCTCTCTATGTATGTGTGACCATGCGTACATTCAAATAGGTAAATACAGTGGGGTGTGACATCATTTTTTTTATTAGGAAGTTAAAGCCATCTTTATTCCTCACATATTATTCATCTTTCGTGTTTGAACTGAACTGGAATTCAGAACTACATTTATTTTAGCTGCCTCTACAACAGCCCTGAAGCCTTGATTTCCCCCCTGTTCTCTCTGCATTTGCCCCTGCATATTTATTCGGAAAAGGTTTCTGGTTAATTTACTGCCAGAGACCCTTCCTGCTTATGCTTTTGTATCAGACATCTGATTTCCTGTAATGAATGAAGGCAAATGTTAATGAAAAATCGCAGCAAACTGTTGGAATTACTTTTTGCCACTGGCCAAGTCATTGAATCACGTAGAAGCACTCACTTGAAATTAGTGTTTAAAATCCAATTTTGTGTATTGTGTTGAGTGGTGTAGATTTCAACACTGATTTCAGAGTAATGAACGTCCATCTTGCTTTCCCCATCACGAAAAATTTTAACATTCTCATCGTTCCTACCCCGTAGTAAAAGGGATTCATCCGAAATATATCATCTGTTTTGATTTCTTTATCCAATGCCTAAGCAGCGCCACAAAAAGTCATTTATTCTTCAGCTTTGTACTACCCTTCAGACACAAATATGTGTTCCTTAGGAGAGGATAAAAAAGTTGTCAGTTGATCCGAAGTTTTTAATTAGTGATAGCGTACTTAAAGTGCTTAGATATTAATCAATTTCCTGAATACCTTACAATGAAATTTATTCCATTCGTTTCAAAGATGCAAGACAATCATTTAGAGGTGAATTTTAGCTGTATCGCTTTTTTAAAATATAAATAGAGTTGACACTTCGTGATGTGTTATGTTTAAATCTGTAATATTTTACAGATTACGGAGAAGAAAATAATACAGGATTATGAAAATATCTGATATTGGGGAAACGTTACTTACATGAAATTGACAATATGAGGCCGAAAAATTACGACAACAACAATCAGCATAAATGGGAGAAATCTGAAAGAAGCATCCTCCTTTAACTACCCACCTGGGAAGCATCGTTTCAACTACAGGCGGACGGAACTGATGAGGATATCAACGCAAGGATCGGGAAGCAAGACAAGCTTCCATTACTCTCAAGTCTATGTGGAGGTCGACAGCACTCAGTATGAAAAATAAGATTCAGATTTTCAACTCCAATGTGAAGTCAGCACTACTTACTATACGGATCAGAGACTTGGCGCCGCGTCACCAAGATCATTTCAAACAAACTATATACCTTCATCAACAGGTGTCTTAGCTCAATACTCAAGATCAGATGGTCAGAAAGGATCAGCAACAGAGATCTCTGGGAGCGAACCAACCCAGCAGGGACCGACTGTGCAAGAAATATGCAGGGAGAAATGAAGATGGACTGGCCATACTCTGAGAAAACAAACCATCAAGTGACATCACACACTAGACCATCGCTCGAGTGGAACCCGTATGGGAAGCGGCGAGTTAGTCGTCAGTGAGAGGTTGACATGGAGGAGGTCATGTGAAGAGGAGATGAAAGCATGTGGACATACTTGGAGACGGTTGAAAACGTTGTCAGAGAACCGAACGCATTGGAGACGTTCGCCTGAAGCCCTATGTTCGTCTAGGAATTAAAGGAAACAATAGTAATAATAAAATATTTGTATCACATAAATGTCATCAAAGGTGTTGTAGCTGTCTTAATAATCTGACCCAGAAAGTAGCTTCAGGAGAACTACTGAATAGGATGCATATTTGATCAAATTAGAGTTCCTTATTTTCTATAAGCATAATTTCAGATTTCATAAATGAGCTGTTCCCTTGGTGGTTTGTGAACACTGCAATGAAGTAAAAGTCACCACATGATGATTATGTTTCATTTGTGATGAATGCAAACCTATAGCATGAATAACTCAAGTATATGTTACTTTGATCAATTTTAAGACAAGCTAAAAGAAGGTGATTGAAAGGATTATTTGAAAATTCATTAGATGCCCCGACCAATTAAATTAGATTTGTTATATTACTGCGAAATTATCAAGCGAACCATAGTTTTACGGAGTTGACAAAATTCTACAGAAAACGCTGCAGAATGATTCACTTCAAGTCATAAAATAATGACTAGAGGTGCAAAATATAGCTCCAAATTTATAATTGAGCGCATGAGACGAGGATATTCTGTGTTTTCGTAACTAAGTGAAAGAAAAACACTTTCGAAATAAAACAACTTGTGATTCCGGTCACTGAAATATCAAATATGATGAACTGATTACTGTTACCTCCACTGAGTATATAAGATTCAAATTTTCATTTCGGTCACCTGAATAATATGAAACGTGAAAACTGTCAATAGAGATATAGTCATAAATCTCAGGTCGTTATCAATGTACACGTTTTAGGTCAATGATAATCCGTTATCACAGAATAGAATGTTCGTATCCACGAACATAAGCTATCCGTCAAAATACATCACATCCACTCCCTCATATCACTACATACAGACAACCACGGACATCAGTTCGACTGGGACAACGTTCGAATATTAGACAGGGGAAACAACAAGAATGATAGAGAATTTTAAGAAGCTTGGCATTCCAGTGAATCATCGATCAATAGACACATCGAGATAGACAAAATTTATTAACCGATAAGAAAGAAACTTCACACACAAAGGGTCAAAGTTCAAATCAAAGAAACAATCAGTTCCAATGCAAGTAACCTAGAAGGTGTGAAAACACACAAAAACAACCAATCACGTCCAAGGTCACCAGGAGAGACGATTAATAAACTCGTAGAGAAATCTAACAGCTCACTTCAAATTGAAGTATGCGCTGAAGATGTCGCCTAGTAGGGCAACGAATGCTTCGCAAATTAACTATCCAGCTCAGAGAACACAACCACATCGAAATCATCCACCTGAGCTAAAACTCTTCTCTATCATATATGGAATGTTTAGTTTACAGAATTAGTTGATGTGACTAGTATCTCTTCGGAAACTACAAGAGGTTTGTTTATGCAGAAGTAAAACCTTTTTTAACTGCCGGTTCCTGTGAAAACTAACATTTTGGAAGAATCTAGTTTTTGAAAAGGGATTCTTTAAGATCGAGTAGTGTCAACAAGCAGCTGAAGCAGGCAGTAGCCACTTCGCTAATTGTTCTTATTTCTGGGTGAGTTAAACTTTTCTAATTATTGAATAGTTTAAGAGTTAGTAGCATAAAAGCAGTAAATAATGTGATCTTTATTTCCAAATAGATGATCAATAGTTGTCAGCTACGGGGTGATATGTAGGAGGTCATGTGAAGAGAAGATGAAAGCATGTGGACATACTTGGAGACGGTTGAAAACGTTGTCAGAAAACCGAACTCATTGGAGACGTTCGCCTGAAGCCCAATGTTCCTCTAGGAACTAAGGTGACAGTAATAGTAAATACAGTAAGTGGTTTTGTATAGGAAGCAGAATGAAGCATTCGAGCTGAATGAATCAGTCATATGCAATATAACAAAACAAACAAATTTAGGTTCATTGAATTTAAAAATCCTAATGATCTCAAACAGACAGAAGAAGTAAACCTTAGTAGTGAATGGAACGCAAAGCGGAATGATTCTTTGAACTGAGTTACCACCTTATTGCAATATCCATTGCTGTATACCTATGAAATATAACAACATATTATAGCTATTTCCACATTACCATGCACGCATTTAGAAATAACAACAGATTGAGCGGAGAAATATATTCATTTTCAATTAGCTCCTCATCATCAACAGGCTCTACACTAATATATAGTTTTTTACATCAAAATGTTTTACCGATCAAGTAGTTATTTTAGTCAATTAGTTTTAGGTATAGGAGGGATGAAATTAAGAGGTTAAAGGTCATCAAATCAATTAACAAATAGATGTTAGTAACAAGATATCTAAGATTTTAAAAGAGGGGTGACAATTAATTGTGGAATTCAAGATAAGTTGATTCTTAGGCTTTAGCAACAAGTTACTGCGTGATCACGAAATTTGTAAGATAGTTATGATGACTAAGAAGAAAAGAATGACTCAAAAGAATTACATAAAATACAAACAAACAAGTTAATAGAATTAGCTAAAATTGTGAAATTAACGAAGTCAAAATATAGTTACAAGGAGAAGGGAAAAGTTGTTTTTAAAAACTTAATACATATTGTGGCAAAGAATCGGACTGTACACATTTCTTTTGAACACACAGATTTGGCTTGTTCAGATGAATTCCGATCACCTTGGACGTAAAAGTCGTACTCAACGGGGATATGTATCACCTTCCTTGTATGAAATACTAAAACCTGTCGGTACAGTGATACCCAGGTTGAACGGCTTACCGAAGATTCACGAAAACGACTTGGCACATAGACCGGTCCTCGATATGTCTAGCTCACCATACCATTAAACCGCGGAAGGGCTGGTGGGATTTTTACAGCCGTTACATAAGGAACTTGTGAAAAATAGCGTAAAAGTTACTTCTAATTTGGTAGAAAGAATCAAGAAATTAAATGTGAAGGACAAATACATAATATCACTGAATGCATCTCCTTCCATCCAGTACAATATAAAATATTCTTGTTACGGGAATATGAGAAAGGCAACTAGGTGATAGAGTTCAGTTATATGTATAAAAATGATGAAAATTTTTAAACCATAGATGTTCGGCAATTGAAGAAATTCCTTCAGTTTGGGAATAATCCTCATGCAAACATGAATGAAAAAACAAAAGAAGCATTTCAGTGAGAAGTTTATTTTCGACATTCTCATTTTCTATAGCTATACAGACGCATTTGTGCACTATTTATGTAGTAAATAGGCTTGCGATACTAGAGACGAAATGTTATTAACGCAGTTTCTTATATAAATTATTATATAAAAGGAGTGAAAAAGGGTGACAGAGTCATGCATTGAGATGAGTAATTTAACGATTAGTTTGTAGCCAAGGTGCACACAGAACACAAAGGACAGGTGATATCACATAAGAGTTGTGAAGAACAGAAGGGTTAAAAAGAATTAAGAACCACATTGGTTGTAAACAACAGGGTCACCAACATGTTATTAGTAATGTGTGAAAAACTCTCTTTAATGCTCTGAGCTCTTGTTTCTCTTTCTGAATAGCTTGAGTCCCAGTAATGTAAAGCTGAATCAAGAGTATCACCCTTCCTGAGTTGCTGTTCTCTTTCTAAATCAGTTGAAAAAATGGGCTTCTACAACAAGGTGATCAGTTGTTTCAACCCTTATGAAGACCCTGGCATCTTTCTCCGACCATAGGGGATGGTGTTCTTTGACTTTTTAAACCGGATGTGTTGAACGGTTGGTGTAAATGGTTCCACAGGAGTAGGTGGACTGACATATGCACACAGAAGTGGACAGGTGCAGTACCATGTTTTTTTGAGCTTCTATAGATCCATGAGCAACTACAGAACACTTCTGTTAGAGTCAGTGGGAAGAATAGCCTCCTCAAATATACCGGTATTCTTCTCTCACGGATACTGCAGGTGAAGTCTCCTTTGAAATCAAAGATTATTTTATGTTTCCTTTTTTGTTAAATTTATCTCTCAAGTTTCTAAACTTTCTGGTTATATACAAGTCCACTAATTAGCTCAAATCTGGTAGAAAAGTTGGTTTTTTTTAATCATGCCTTTTAGGATGCATACTGAACATGAGTGCAATCGATTGGAAATGACGGGTAAATAAAATGAAATTAATTAAATAAATAAATAATCGAAAGAATCTAGATGATTTCGTAATTGATGTAACAATAATTTGCACTCAACACACACATAAAAGATAAAAAAACAAGAGGAAACAAAACATGAATTACACTCGATGATAAACGCACATACAAAACACATTCACTTAATCAAGTACGCATATTTCATACAGAAGAAGTTGAACTGAGTTACCATATATAGGCCGAAAATATGTTACTTTGTGATTTACTATTCGTATGGTAAGGCTGTTAGCACTAAATAAGAAAACACCAGTAGAACACTGGGTGTTTCATTCATTTAGAAATATACGTTCATAGTAACCTAATTCGCAATTTCTTCTCAAACTAATTCTAAACTTGGCTTGAAATTATTTACTGTATGAAAAATATAATTTCGCTTCTGTTCCTTAGTATATATTCGGTGTATTAACAGTAAGTCGCACAGCGGTTAGGACGCTCGATGACCATGGACATGGTCCATGGTTCGATCCCCTGCCGACGCACACCTGGTATCATTGGTCAGCCTGCAAAATTTGGGCTACCGATATCACATACTGAAAATTCCATACTTGTACCAAAAATACAGTGTGGAATCAAGCTATAATACAAAAAAACTTGTATTTTCCCTTATCAGGACTTTTGTCACAAATTTTAGCTCCCCTCACTATTTTGAGATGGAAAACTCAACGGACTTACACTATATTACGTTTGTCAGTGAGTTAATTGCAGTGTATAGCCTTAGCAGTAAGTATCAAATTGCAAAATGATCGGAATCCTCAAATTATCAAAAGTGTACCGCTAATGTGATTCAATCTCTTCTATTCACATCACTATGTATATATGATACACGCCAGGCCATCAAGTGGAACTCGAATGAGAAAAGACAAGACACGAGTGGAGTTCATAGTGCATGTTCATTGTGTAAGGAAAGAGAATGTTTCGTTGGTGCTCAGCTGATTGTGAGATGAGATGAATTGCCTAAAAAGGGAAGTCAATGAAGTAGTTTCTTTATGGGATTCTGATGAGGAGGTGAACAACTTGAGTAAACAAGTCTACCGAAGTGAAAACGAATAAGACAGCAACTGACTGACACCAACCAATTAAGGCAATCTTAATACATAAGATTATGCATCATGATTTCTAGGCTGCATTATTCTTACTAGTAAATTACTGTCTCATCTGTCATAAGGTAAAACACGTATTGATTTCATAGTGGTGTCAGTCGTCTCCACAGACTGATCGAGTTTTGAATCTGATTTCCTGAGACGTTTCACTTACACGAAATAAGTGCTCCCGATCTGTCAAAAGACTCGATATAGTGTTACATTTCAAAGTGATGGATGTTAAAGGGTTGGAGACAATCGCGAAAAATGACTGTATTTAATTTCATATCTATTGGAACTCATCATCTTGATGGGAACGAGAACGGTGTCTGTACATCCAAATGTCTTTTGCTGAAGAAATCGTTGTCCTTTATTTAGAGAATTATTTTTGTGTAATTTGCTATTAGCACTAAGTGAATATCGACTGAACTATTTTGAAAAGCCTGGTAGTGACATTGTCTGTTTAACGTGAATGATGAAAACAAATATTAGATATTTGAATAATATGAAATCCAATTCAATAGCGGTACATAAAGTGTAATGTCTTCCTTAGCCAATGATGTTTGAAAATGTACGTAGAACCCTATGAGGTTACTGACCATTTGTTCTCCTTATGGGTATACTATTGATGAAATTCTTATCAGGTTCAACAACAGTCAATTATAAGAGTTTAATTTCTCTATCCTTTTATTTATTTGTTGGAGTGAATATTAAGGTATGAGAGTAAGAATGATAAACGCGATGGACTTCACACATCCAGTTTTAACGGAATGATGAAATTCAGCCGGAAAACCGTAGATTTTTTTTATTACAGCTTGATTCCACACCGTATTTTGGTACAAGTATCGAATTTTCAGCATGTGATATCGGTAGCCCAAATTTTGCAGGCCGACCATAAATATCAGGCGTGCGTCGACATGGGCTCGAACTCCGGACCATGTACATGATCGGCGAGAGTCCTAACCACTGTGCCACTGACGCACATATATAGATGGTAAACATTAGATGATATCGGTTGCAGAATCATCGGAAAACATACGAGTACTGGGCAGATGGTTCATCCTAGTCAGGGAATCTTCAACAGTACGCATCCACCAGGGTTTCAAACTGTGGTATTACAAGACGAGCCTGTAGAAAACAAAGCCAATGGGACATAAGTTGAGGAAGCTTAAAGGCCATAAATCAGGCATCCGTATTATTTGACCGCCTAAATGAGGTCCACCCAAAAATTAAATTCACCATGGAATACGAACATAACGATGAGTTCAATTTCCTAGACCTAAATGAAAAAAAGAAGAAACGATAGAACGGTCGAAAAGTCCATCTACAGAAAAGAAACTTGGACCGAACAATAGCTTCACTACAACAGCTTCTGCCCTATGAGCTATAAGCGGGGATTAGTAAGGACACTGTATGACAGGGCCAGGAAGTTATGTTCGCCTAACAAGGTAAAAGAAGAATTAGGCTTTGTTGAAAAATGCCTTAAGGGAAACGGGTATCCAAAAGGATTTATCCTAAAGTACAGCAAAGAAAGAGATGAGAAAGAGAAGTATGCAACAATTGAAAAGAAGAAAGTGTTCATTTGCCTCCCCTACAAAGGAGAAACAGTATCGCAAAAGATTGAAAAGAGGATGAAGGGAGCAATAAAGAGATGCTTCCCTGCAGCCAATCTGGTGACACTATATACAGTACTACATGCTCTATGAGGCAACTGAAACTGGATAAGTACTCTGCTGGTGTTACCTCCAACTGCATTTATGAATTTACGTGTACCTGCGGCAGCAAGTACATTGGAAGGACTGAAAGAAGGGCTTCTATCAGGTTTTCAGAGCATATTCCAAGAAACTTATGCCTAAAAGGAAGCAGATATTTACGAAGTGCGATTACCAGACACCTTGTGAATACGGGTCATTCTGTCGATATTTCCAAATCCTTCAAAATATTAAACATACAAAGGACAGCGAATCTACTACGATTTGCTGAAGCAATTGCAATCAAACGTCACAGACCAAACTTATGCATACAGAAAGAGAGTAGGGTCAATCTCTCACTCCCTTAGTAACCATATCACTTTTATTACACTGATTAGTTATACACACTAGTGAGCTCAACTCACTAAGCAAGCTTTCAAACTGATGAACCTTGACCTTCTTGAGTTGACATGTTGACACTGTATACTAGATTTTTTCTGTTTTCTGTCTTTTCTCACCCCCCTTTTTTCTTTTTTCATTGTTTGACAGTATATAAATTGATGATGTGTTCACCTTATAATGTTTTCTCTATTACCTTTCAAACAATGAAGTATGAAATGTTATTATTTATAACCATTGTATTTTCAGGTAGTTTGCAGCTGATGAGAACCTGTGAAATAGAATGATATCATTCTATACTGCGAATCTGGTCTTTCTTTCTCTATCGAAAAAAATATGCATAGAAGCACAGGGGACCAAAAGCAAGAATCCTTCTAGAGGAAAGATGTAGAATATAGCCGTCAAACAACTTCGTTTCAACTAAAACACCAATGTAAGGGGTATATCTACTGATGTGGATTCATTGGTAAGAACAGTGTGCTGCAGAACTGAACTAGTGGTTTGCCTAAATTTTGCTTTCGAAAATCATATCTGAAGGTGTTCTTGTGTATGTCTATAAAGTATGCTACTGGTGCTTAGCTCCACAGGAGCAAGTGAAATGATAAATGTATACAGATGTTGCCAACAGTAGAACATTTTCTCTGAGATTTTGATGAGTAAGAGGTTGCGTGGAGAGGTAAAGCTGAGGAGAAGAATGTTTCCCGAATCTCTCTCAATATTCTGCTTCGAAGAATTTCAGCTGTCACCCTTGAATTTCATCCTTTGTGTTTTAACCATATCACGATTCATATATTTTCTGATGAATAACCATTCTGAATTGGTGTTACGGAAAGACTCTAGTCATCTATTTAGTGTGTGTTTCTGCATATGCGTAATGCGACAGATTCTTGTGAGGAGGGATTTGATGAGGTTTCTTTTTCTACAAAGCTGTGGAAGTTATTTAACTGTCCGTTTTATTTTGGTTTGTAATGCATTTATTTTTTAATCGATCCATCATTTCTCCTCTAGAACTGAACATCTAAGAATAGGAGCTTTCCTCCTGACTCGACTTCTAGAGTGAAACTAGTCGATCGATCAGTGTTAATTAATACTTCAAGGACTTTATTTACCTCATCGGCAATAATGAAAATATTACCCGTATAACAGTTATAGACTCTGGATTGATTCATAGCAGCTATCACAGTACCCGATTTTAGGTGTGCTATGAAACAGTCTGTTTATTATAGGATAAAAGTCTACGTCAAGAAATAAAGACACTCGCCAAGTGATTGGCATTTTATTGAAATGTTTAGTCCAATTTCAACGGAACAAAAGTGGAGCAGTCAAATAACCGTATTGATTATTTTTCTGGAAAAATACATAGGCAATACCTACATTTATCTGACCTATATACAAATCCAAACACTTATGGTTGCCTCTTTTGTTCTTCTCACTATCACTTTGTTGAATGCTTTCACTTCAGTACACTTCTTACTTTCCTATAACAATTTTATTCTAGACTTCAGGAAACCTCTACGTTATTATTATTTTTATTTCTAGGTTTATTATATTGACATTTGGAACAATTAAGGTTTGTTGAAACGGAATGAGCTGAGGAACACATATGACTTCACTTTGTTATCCGTCAATGGTTAAACAACAACCCTAGAGTAATTCAGGTATTTCAACACAGTATATAAGCATGTTTGGTGTCACAAATTGGACTCAAAAACGCTGCATATGTTGCTGAAAATCTTCAGATATCAATGAAACAGAAATATTTAAAAGTAAAAAACCCGTGAAGAAGCTTTCCCCTTATCCTTCATTTCTAATTTATGCCTTTTCCAAAACATGTTTGGTTTTCAAGTATCTCCGTGCTAATGTTCTCTACTACTTTTAGTAGAGATAATAAGTAATATGTGGAGAACCGGTTTCGGTTAGTCGAGAGCAATCCGACTTGGCCTGTTCTATCGGTCGCGCTTTATAAAATACCCCTTTAGACTTAGGATAACAAGACGGATTTATACGGAGCTTTCTAGTCTTTCATCATTGTTGGAAGAGTTGTGTCCATACGCAGAGTTTTATTTCCCAATACATGAACACAGTTGCACTACCATTTGAAACAAGAAAGTCGTTTAAACTGTCAACATTATGAAAACGTGATGTGTTCTCCTTAAAATGACCTTCTAGGATCAGAGATTGCTGCAACCCATTGGTCATAAGAGGCTCCTAAATATTTATGTAATATGTTGATATTGTTTGTGACTATATATCTTCTAGTTGTCTTTCATTTCCTTTAACTTATTTGAAAGATTTATTATTATTATTATGTACTGACAACGCCAATTTCACGTTTGAAGGTGAACATTTTCGACAAGTAGAAATATTTGCGATGTCCTACTTCGGAGAAGACTGACCAGATAGCAGTCAGTGCATGTGGTAGAAAAGTCCCTTTAATAGGGCAGTTAAAGTGCAACGTCGAGTTTGGTGAGATCCAATTTATCAGTACCAGCTATGTGCACTGTGCAAACTTGGATCTGATTAGTCTAGATTGGTTCGCAGAACTACGGCTCTCCGAAATCCCCCTAAGCAATATATGTAATAATATTGCAACAACTGATTCGGCAACAGAATTTCAGGAATTCCAAATGTTACTCCAGCCGGATTTGGGCCATTGCAGCACTATGAAAGCCGTCTTACGATTGAAACAAAATGTAGCGTCAGTCTACCGCCCAAAACGACCAGTGCCATACGCTTCACAGCAAATGATGGAGGCAGAATTAAGACGACTAGTGGGTGAAGGAGTCCTGACACCGGTAACACATTCAATGTGGGCGGCTCCCGTTGTAGTTATCAAGAAAGCAAACGGTTCGATCCATATACGTGTAGATTTCTCGACAGGGTTGAAGGTAGCTATGGAGGAGCACAACTATCCGTCACCGGTCCAGACGATATAGTTAGCACCTCAATGGTAGAAAAATCTTCTCCAAGATTGATTTAGCTGATGCATACCAGCAAGTCGCAGATGAATGTTGTGAGCTGCTGACAATTAACACTCATTGTGGATTATTGCAATACAACAGGTTACCCTTCGGGGTTAGAACTACTCCAGCCATATCCCAGCAGATAATGCACACTATTTTAGCTGCTATTCCCGGAGTTGCTATTTATTTGGATGATATTCTAATGGTTGTAGCTTCCCAGGATGACTAAAAAAGGACAGATAAGGCTTGTCCTTCAGAAAATGGTTAACAACGGACTAAATCTGAGAGCAGAAAAATGTCAATTCTTCTTACATTCAATGAAGTATTCAGGATTTATTTTTGACGCGATTGAACGACGACCAGATCCGGAGAATTCAGAGGTGATTCAAAGTATGCCGATTCCGAAAGATGTACAGACTATTCGTTCCTTCTTAAGGATCATTAGTTTCTATTCAGTCTTTCTGCCGTCGTTGCATAGCGTACACGAACCTTTGAATCGTCTATTAAGTAAAAATCAGTTTTGTTTTCAAAGTTGCGGAGTGGGATTGCTAGCCTCACGTTTAGTCTTATTTCTTGATCGGCCTAACGACTGGCTTAGTGAGGCATAAAGTTAGTATTGGCTCACAGTCTACTAGGTCATAGTAGATCTCAAGTCATAGCCCTGATGCTCTAGAAGAAGCAGACCTTCTGAAGGAAACCTTCACCCAAAATGGACAGTCACTGACAAGAACGTAAAAATAAAAAATCAGAGAAAGAAAACATTATTTGTACCAAAAATGAAACTTTCCATGAACCTGGATTTCGAGGAGCCAGGTTAATTGGTCATTCGACGCATACATAAGAAAATTATTCAATTAATTCTACTATCAAGGTAACATCCTTGTTATTTTTCTGCCGGCGTTGTTTTTTTCTCTACAACTGTGATATTTAAGTGTCAGTTTGCAGGGATCTGACTGGTTAATGGATTTTATTATGAGTTGGCACTGGTTAGAGAATCACTGGAAAACCCTTAGGCAAGAAGACATTTTCGTTCGTTTCTGTGCGTATCCCGATTACAACTTATTCATGGAATTACCTGTCGTATTAGGCATAAGAGCCTCGCCAGATACTAGCTTGCTAGGCTACTAGCTTACTAGTTTTCTCGCCGGTCCCAAGCCCGGGTAAAGAGGGAGGGTTGGGGCGTGGTGCTAGCAACTCCACCCCTGTAAAACAACCAAATCGCTACAGAAACTTCAACGAATAAATATATTAAAAATTCTAAAAACATAAGCAATAGCCTTACTTTTCGCTGGAATCGGGGAAGTGAAATGACGCAGGCTGGTGAAAGCCTTCGGGAAGCCAGTCAGCCGATGTGCCTTCTTTCGATGAAAGCAAAAGTAAGGATGGGTACCTGGAATGTTCGCACAATGTACGAAACTGGAAAGGCTGCCCAGATAGCCGCTGAAATGAGAAGGTACAGAATAGAAGTGTTGGGAATCTGCGAGAGCAGATGGAACGGAACTGGAAGGTGCCAACTACCTACTGGAGAGACAGTAATCTATTCCGGCCACCTAGAGGACAACCATGAGCACACCGAGGGAGTGGCCATCATGATGTCACCAACAGCAACCAAAGCTCTCATGCAGTGGGAACCAATCTCCTCCAGGATAATGACAGCCAGGTTCAACTCAAAAGGAAGGAAAGTTACAGTCATTCAATGTTATGCGCCTACAAACGTCTCAGAACAAGAGAAGAAGGAGGCGTTCTACAGACAACTACAAGCAATAATGGACAACGTCCCAAATGGCGATATCAA